TATATATGTAACATGAGAATTGACTTGAAATAAACTAAGAAGATTATATCCTGGTTTTAACTTTGTCTTGTCTTTTTTACTTTTCTTGTTTGTTTCTTTTGTTCGCTTATTTTTGTTTGTTTGTGTTTTGTTTTTCTTTGTTTTTCTTTTGTTTTCTTTTGTTTTGTCTTTGTTTTATTTTTATTATTTTTTACTTGTCATCATATTGCCATTTATCTTATTAATACACTTTCTAATTTTGATTAATAATATATATTTAGTCTTATTATTATTCAAATAAATTTAAATATCTATATTATACTTATATTCTTATTAGTTTATTATTGTCAATCATTCACTTCCGTCATTTATATCTCTCTTATTTAAAATTTGTTATGAACACAGTCACTATTAACCATTTCTAAATATTCTCATATGTAAGAACTAGAAATAGTAGCAATATGATTTATATAACTAATAATTATTTTAAATTATATCACAATTACAAATAATACTAATAATATAAAAGAAATATAAATACTAAAAAATTATACAAATTTATTAACAAAAAAATACAAAAGAAAATTAGTTATAATTTTAGTAATTAAAAATAAGAAAAAATAAGAGTTTGAATAAAAAAAAGTATTATAAAAAAGAATAATAATATAAATATAATTATAGATAATTATAATAAAGAAATTAAGAGATAAAAAAAATAATTGTAATAAGAATAAAATTAAAGATAAAAATAAGTATAATAAAATATAAATGAGATAAATCAATAGCAAATATATAAATTTTATAGTAAAAAATACAAAAATAAAGAAAATAAAACAAAAATATACAAAAATATGATTATTATTAGGTATTATAATTTAGATATCAAAAAGATAATAATATATATTAAATATAATTATATAATAGAATATAATATAAAAATAAAGAGATAAATTAATTTAATCATTGAGTTATATAATATTATATTAATTTTCTTTGTAATATATTTTAATTTTTATTGATCAAAAATTAAGTAATTATAAAATTTTTGATAAGAATAGAACAATATTCACTTTGTCTAATTTTGTTATAATTTGCTCTAAATAAAAAATTATAAATAAATTAAATTAAACTAAACTAAATTAATCTGATAAATCTATTTTAATTGCATATAAAGTTAATTATTTTTTATAATTAATATATATAAAAAAAATAATTTTATATGTAATTAGAATTAATCTGAAATTTTGAAAAAAAATATGAAAAAATATGTGATTTTATCTTTATTTTAATGTAAAAATAAAATATATTTATTAGTAAAATTGAAAACTTTTATATAAAGAGAAAAATTTGCATTTTATTATATTTAATTAATAAATTTTGATATTCTTATATTATTTCTAATTATTATTATATAAAATTATATAATTTAATAAATATATAGTTTAAGTAATCTATATAAAACAATTTGTTTTAATATTTAAAATTTTTAAACTCAATATAAAGATAAAATTTTCAAAATTTAACTAGTAATTTTATAGAACTTATTATAATAAACAAAGTTACCAATTAAATTTTGAAAATTTTGTTTCTATTTTGAGTTAAAAGTTTTTAAAAATTGAAATAAATAGTTAAATATAGATTATTTAAACCATATTAAATTATAAATATTTAATTTAAATTAATTTAAATTATTAAAATTGTTAAATAAAATAAAAAAGATTAATATTATTTTATTATAAAATAATAAAAATTAATTTGAAATTTTTAAAACATTAATTATTAGTTTGAAAAAGTTGTATTAGCTAATTAATAAGCTAATTTTATATTAATATATTCAAATTAAATAAAATATATAGTGACTTTTAAAATTATAAAATAAAATTAAAAATTTTGTCTTATATAAAAGTTTTTAATTTTATTAATAAATAATTTTTATTTTTATATTAAAACAAAAATTATAAGTTATATAATATAAATTATTTAAGTATTATAATTAGCCAAATTTTTTAAGATATATTTACTTAACAATCTGTACTTTTCTAATTAAATAATATATAATATTATAGAATAGTTAATAAATTATTGATTTATATATTTTCTAATTTTCTGAGAATTTTAATATAATTTAAAGTTAATTTTTTTGTATGGTAACTAAGTAATTAATATTTTAGTTTAATATATATTTTTTCTGGATTTTTAGATTTTTTTCTGACAAAGTTGTTCTAATTACAAAATTATCACAAAAATTTTTATAATTAAAATATAAAATTAATTATATAGAATACTAATTAAAAATTAAAAGTTAGTTTTATAATAAACTTTTGAGTTATTTTTGATTTTTTAATTTTTTAAAATTTGAGTATTATATGTGATATTGGCCATTTTCAAATTAGAAATTTGAAAATTGGTTCAGAAAATCAATCTAGAGAATCAGTCTTTACAAATAGCTATTGCTTAATTTTTTAATTCAATTTATACAATCTTCACATATGATACTTCGATTTGGTACAGAATAACATGTTAGATGTATTTTGAAATTTAAGTATCATATACTTTATATTATAATAAAAATATAAAATTAAAATAACTTTCATTCATCTTCAATTTACATAAGAAAGTGCCGACAATAGTGTTTGGACTCGTCCAAAAAAGTGTGACCCGGTCACCCGAGGGTTTAACTCGCGGATTACCCGGGTGGGCATGCTTAAACTCATATGATTGGTTGAATTATTTGCAAATCGTCCAAGACTCAATTTATTGCATATGTAACTTCAGGTTGTTTGTACAATTCCGGTGAGCTGATATATTTTATTATAGAAACTCGTGGAAATGCCTTTGATTTTCATGCACTCTTTTTATTAGACTTTCGATATCTTGTTTTCGCTAGATAATTCAACTTTATAAAGTTGATAGTGATAATCAAAACACTCATGATCGTTTCTTGGCAACGAGTTCATTTACTACAGTCATGAATTTGTTTAAAAAGTATTATTAATAAATTTAAATATTAATAATAAACAAAAATTTTAAATTATATCTTATTTTTCAAAATATATTATGTTTGATGTGAATTGAATTCTTATATATTTGATTATTATTTATTATTTGTTTTATATTATATAAAGTTTTAGATAATATATTTTGTTAATTCTGTATTATTTAAGTTATTTTTTGTAATTTTTCTTTGTGTCACTTGTATCAATAATAATAATAATAATAATAATAATAATAATAATAATAATAATAATAATAAAAGCCAAAAATTTACAAAACCACCAAAAAATTATGAAACTATATATCATGTCATAGAAATTAAAGAAATAGTAAATCTAGCATGAAATAGCAAAATGGCGAACTTCTAACGGGTTGACCCACCCACATTCATCCGGGTGGCCATGATTACAACCCGGGTCCAAACACTAGCCCACAATATTAGGGCACCCCTCTGTAAATAGAAAAAAATTTATACATTAGTGGTGAATCTAGAGGAATTCCGGATTTTCTAATGGTTTATTGATACTCGTGCACATCTTCCTATTAGATTTAAAAACCATTCCGGGCTATATCGATATGTTTTAATATGAAGTGCTCCTGCTCACAGAATCACCAGGTCCCGAAGGGTAGATGCTTAACGACAAATACTCATTATTCTGGACTGTTGATATAACTCTGTCATTACCATTATCAAAGATTGAAGAGTTATTTTTTCTGACATATAGTGTTTATCGTAATTATCACAAATTACAAAATATAATAGGCAAATTTTTTGTCTCGAAGAATAATTATATAGTTTACTTTATTAATGTTATTCAAGCTATATTTAAGAAACGAATATATTTGCTGGTGGGATTTTTAAATAAATGAGACTAGGAAATTAAGTAAAACGCCTTTCCTATGATAATTTTCCCAACGTTAATTATATATATAGCATAATTTATTTTGTGTTGGCTTTAAAATAAACTAATTACTATTTCTATTTTAGCATGCAAAGAAGCCTCTCTAAGAGTACACCCTGGGACCATATTAAAATAAGACAGAGTATGCATTTAGAGGGAGTGTGCATTTAGAGATAAGTTTGTAGCGTGTATTTAAGGAGGATGTATATAGTGTGTGCATTTACAGAAGGTGCACTTAGAATAGGTTTCTCTGTACTGTTCTGTTAAAGTACCCGTTTGATTACAATATCATATTGTGAAAATGTTTGTCCTATTCTTTTCATTCTATCAATAACTGTTTGTTTTGATGAAATTTATATTTATATTGATTTTAAAGAATTAATGCCAATTTTTTACCATTCAACGAGTTATGAATGAGTTTTATCGTCATTCTTTGACATGTTCACAACTTCTTGCAATCGACTTAGATTCTTAGTATAATGATATTCTAATTGTTCTTCGGAATATCTCCATTTGATTTGTGCCTCTTCGGTCATAAAACCAGAAGCTAAATCTCTTAATTCAACCCATTGATACCAATCTCGACTGATACCATTTGCTGTTGATTTTTCTTTCTCTTTATTGGAAGAAGTAAAGTTTTTTTGATGTAGTATGGAAAATAATTTTGCTTTTAGAAGTGAATCTCCTTCAGGATAAGGATTTTCTAGCGGAATAGTGGTATCGGATATCGATGGTCCTTCGAGATCAAGTGTCACTACAAAATAAAAGGATGATTTAATAGAGAATGAATGCAAAAGATACTTCCAATTAAAGGGAAACAAACCAACAGATCTTAATCCAATCCATGGACCAGCAATTTCATGAACATTCAAACCGCAAGTACGATTATAATAAGCCAGTCCTGACTCATGAGCCAACAATTGAAATGCAACAAATCTTGATTTTTCCATCTCAAACGCGTGACGTATATCACATTTGACATCACGTTGATCAATTATGCCTAAAACTTCATTTACTGATTCAGCAACCGATTGTTTCGTGTATAAGTCCAATGGATTATTATTCCATGGATTATGATGCATTTGTGATTGGTTATAAAGATTTCGAAGAAAATATGACCATAAATGCTAATATTGAATAAGTATAAATTAATAAACTAGATTAAGAATTGTACTCTTGAAGATTCGAATTGTTACCTTTGTATTTGCGATGACAAAAGCTAATGTACTATTTCTTTTGTATGTAGGCAGAGGAGAAATATTTGACAATATTTTTGCATTATATCTATTAAAACTGAACTTGTTACTATTTCAGGCCTTTAAGATATAAAAATCATGACTTAAATTACCTTTGGGCAGGAAACGCTTTTACCAAATCGAATCCACGAGAATACAATTGATTGGAAAGTAATCGCGTGAATTCTTTCCATTGATTTTGTTGTTGTTGTGATGTATTAAATAAAGGAAAAGATAAAAATGGACTTGATGACAAAGATGCGGAGGAACACAATGATGATGACGAGTTCATCTTGCAAAAAAATTTTCTTGAGAAAAAAGAAATCATTTGTTTGTTTAGGGCGATAATATTTTATCTCAACAGCTGATACACTTGTGCTACCGTTGTCGTGATATTCACATACTTAAATGGGCGAAAAGAACGAGTTTTCCAAATTGAGGCAAGCACAGCAAATAATAAAAATTTTGGAATTCGTCAATATTTTTATTATGTAGTGATAATTCATAGATACAAATTAATTTAGCGTTAGTGGAGATAACGGAAAAGTACATGTACAAAATAGTTCAAATAAAAAAATAATCTATGTAAAAGTTATGCTCAAAGGCGAAAATTTTCTTACACGACTTGTTGATGCGGTATTATTAGAATCAGCAGCAGCAAGCGCTTCTAACTGTTCAACACTAGATCTTCGATCATGACTAGGTCTAGGTGACGAGATATTGGTAAAGAGATTGGTATTTTCGTCGTCTCTCAATGCTATTTCTGCATCGTTTTCTGAGCTAGTTCTTATTAATCCAGTATTTTCAAAATTATTTAGATTGCTAGACGACTGGCTTCCGGGACTATTCCACCAATTTAGTGGTGGTCGAACTGATATTTTCGGTGTGACTTCTGGTGACGATAATAAATACTCGGCACGACGTGCTTCGAGGTCGCTGAGGTCGTATTCGTCGTCACCTTCGTAGTTTGGATGTGTAGTATATGTATTGCTTTTACCGCTGTAGCCGGATACGGAAGAAACTGGAGTACTTATATTAGGTATCTCGTGCATTTGAGTAGGAGGCGTTATTATAGGAGATGTTACTATCGGTGGATCTTGCTGTTGGTGTTGTAGCGGGTTTTCTCCAACTGGTGGAGTAGATCCGAATGTCGTACGAGCCACATCGTCAGGATGAAGTTGTAGTGGGTTCGAAAATAAATCTCTAGAGTTGCTGTCAACTTGTGGTGCAACAGAGTATTTTCGAATATTATGATGAATAATTAGCGTGTGATAGATTCGTAGCGTGAAATTACTCAAGACCATTATTCCTGATGTGACTAACGCAAAGAAAGGAACAAAGTT